AAAAATATAAAAAACTGAATAAGAACTTGAGAATTTAGAACTAGCTTAAAAATCTCAAATAAGAAAATTTTTAATAGTACTATATAACAAAGCTAATTATATTAAAAATTAAAGAATTTAGATAGCAAAAATCTTCAGACAAAATAATCTAACAATCTATCTACTATATTATCTTGAGCAATACTAGTGATATTTTTATTAAAAGATTTTTGTTTAAGATCTAAAGAAAAAAAACTTGTATTATGAAAATATATACTAAGTATTAAAAAAATATAAGACTTAAGCCTAGAATAGAGTATCTAGATTTATATATCTAGTTATATATTATATTATATAATATAATATAAAATAATATTTTTAAATCTGAATATAAATTTACAGCTAATTATCAAAATCCTTATCAAAATTTCTAATCAAATCTACAAACAAATATAGAAATCATACTGCATTAATTTTTCTACTTGACAAAAAGTACACTTAATATCATCCAATTCTACTTCTATTCAAGTTAGTCAATGATCTCCTACTCGTCTTTATACTAGAACTCATAACACTTTTATATATAACTGTCTATGCAACTTACCTAATCAACTACATTTTGATTCTTTTTCTTGCCCTCTAGCTTGGCTCACTAAACTTAAATTTAATATCTGGTCCACTTTGTGGATCCAGTTAAGTATTCCCACTAATCATATATTAACTATTCAAATCTAGGTGAGCTTTGACCACTCTAGTAGGTTTAGATTACAGATAAATTAGTCTGAGCTTTTATTCTTGCATATAGTTTATATTTATTTATTTATATATGATTTAAGTCTTCATTTAGTTTTGTTTCTTTATGATTACTTATATAAATTACTCAATAAAAATATAAGCAAGGCCTCACCTTTTAATAACAAAAAAAAAATCTGAATATAAATAAATCCAGATTTAAATTTAAATTTAGATTTATACTATAATAAAACTGAATTAATCTAAATATAAAAAATATATCTAAATTGAGGTATTGACTTTAATTTAGAAACTTTAAGTCTGGCAAATCAATCTTGCTAAGCTATTTGGTTGACTATAAAATATAAAAATAACAAAATATGAATATTGGGTTGTAATTCTTATAAAGATAATTAGAAGGTTGAAATTTAAAATGTAAATCATATTATAGTAGTATTATAAAAAATAGCTTGAAATATGAAAACAGTAGTAGTATAATATGTACTAGTTAAAAAGAAATTACTAAATATATAAACACTTTTAGAAGTAGAATATAAAATATAATATTAAATTTATTTTAAAGATAAATATAAATTGGTTGCAAAATTATAGATATTATATAAATTCATATCTATATATAAAGAGGTTATAGTATTATATATAGCAATTATAATAAAAAAGTTTAAATAAATAATTCTAGTTTGAGTTACAGATACAGATATCTAGTGCAAATAGTGCCAAAAATGTAGTAGCTAGTTGTATTTTTTTATTTTTTAATATTAAAAGATGAGATCTTGCTAGTTGTATTTTTATTATAATTATAATATTACCATATTTTTCCCAAAATAAGCTACCATTTTTGGGCTAAAAATTACACAAAAATTTCTGAAGTAGCTTATTTTGGGAACAAATTGATTTTTGGTCATTTTTTATTAAGTAAAAGTGGTTTATATATATATAAGTTAAAATAGTACTATGTAAATATATGATATAAGCTTAATAAAGGTTGTTCAGAATTAAAAATACATATATTCCAAAAGTTTTATACAATTTGGATAACTTTTATTAGTACAGTTTTGCATGTAATGTTTTAAATTAAATTGCAAAAATGTATTAATAAAAAGTTATCCAAATTATATAAAACTTTTGGAATATGTGCATTTTTAAATTCTGAACAACTTTTATTAAGGTCAGTATATATATTTACTTAGTATCATTTTGACTTTTATATATAGCAACTATTAAAAATTTTTAAAAAATTCAGCGGTAGCTTCTTTTAAGCTAAAGAGATTTTTAGATTTTTTGCATGAAAGAGGAGGGGTAGCTTATTTTAGGAGGTAGCTTATTTTGGAAAAAATACGGTAACTATTATTTAATAAAAAATTACTGATTAAAAAATCATCTTAAAATTTTTTTTTTTATTATTAAAGATGATCTCTTTGGTTAGTGAATTTATTATAGTTAAATTGGGGTTAGTAATATTTACAACAATTTTAACTATATATATTACAACCAGCCTATAGAACTATCTTGATTATCCTTGAGGTAAACCTGACATCACATTACATGTTCCACATATAATAGTGTATGCTTATTCAGTAATTACTTTTCAATTAGTATATATTGTCTGCTATCACAAGCTACCTTTTAGAATACTGTTATAACACAATCCTATCTCAAGCACAATCTTTTTAATTAGTCCTTCATTATATGCTTCTACCCTTTATAAGCTTCACAGACTCTAGTACTCTATTTTTTTACTTTTTGCATTTTACTCTATTTGGTTTTATTGGTCTTCCAATTTAGATGACCCAGAAGGATTGGTCTACCCAGACACAAGTTTTTTAGGCTTAGGTCTAAAAGTCATCTGATTTTTGAACTATGTTTTTATAGCATGTGACTTTTTCATCCAGGGTCTTATTCTAGAATCTTACGCTAAGAAGTAGCCAAGGAATATACAACTAAGGTAGCTCCAGTGACCCCGGCAGTCTAGTTGGTAGATCTCTTTTGTCTGAAAAATCTTATTGCCCAAATTCTCCAAATATTTGGATCTAGTTAAGTTAATTATGTTGTATCAGATAGCACTAGTTAGTCAAGAATCTGCTACTTTCCTTTTCAGATTTGCCAAGCTGGTTTTAGTTCTCTCAGGCTACGATGTATAGGTCTTTAATATATATTGATCCTGGAAGGTTTATCATAGATTTGAATCACCCATATTAGTTTGCATTTCTTTGTGTAATAATATAAATGCTTCTATGTTTTTCAGCACACTTGAGGCGTTGGTGTGCTCTAGTTTATAGATATAGAACCCAGCCCAATTTAAAATAAGCCATTAACGTGATATAGGTAAATTGTATTGAAACATCATTAGTAGAATTAAACTTAGTATCATAGTCAAACTAACTTGAGGTGTGATAACTCCACCACTTTGCTATATCACCACACTCTAAATCACTTTAAAATTAAAAAAATAATAATATATAAAGTTTTTTTTTTTTTGACAATCATGCCACATGTCCTGCTTTTATTGATTATATACAACAATCTAAAGAATTTTTATATTACATCTTATTACTGGAATGTGACTTACCTGGTTACCTATATAAAGTATCTAAGTACTCATGCACTTGTATGTGATCTGCCAAAGATGATTTTAATTTCTCCAGTTTGGTTTAACTTACATCAAGCCGACTCACTCTGGTTTACCGATCTGGTTCACCAGCTCATCATGATTGCCTTTTTTCCCAACATTCTTCTTCTAGCCTCCTAGATAGAAGAATTCTACTACAAGGAAATTTAAGAAAATAAAAGAAAATACAAAAAGAGAGAAAATCTAAACTAAACAAAACAAAAAATATACACAAAAGAAAAAAATAAAGAAAAAAAAAAAAAGGCACAAAGAAAACAACCATGATGACACTATTTTTGCCTGTGCCAGGCTATAGAAATTATATAATGTTGCATAGAAAAAAAATTTAACCTAATACTATATGTATTAAAAGAAGTGGAAAAGAAAAGAAAAAACATCTAACTATAAGAAATTTCTACATGTGACCTCTATACTGTAAACGTTATTGTTTATTTGGAAAAGCAGAATCCAAATAAGCTCATAGGAGATTCTATTTTGGTAGATACATCCTAATTTGAAAGAAGTAAACACTACCAATCTTTTAGAGAGAGTATGCTCTTTTTGGCCGAAATTCCTAAAAAAAATTCAAAACTGCAAAAATATGGTAGAAGGTATTGGTATCAAGTACTTTTAAAATTTCTAAAAAGAGTATTGAAAGTTCAGAACTTTTGTTGTTTCCTTTGTGTTCTTCTTTGAAGTAACAGCCCTAGTGCTTTATTGATGAAATAAAAGCCTACTTTAAGACTTTCTTTCTTTACCAAGATTTTTTATACAAGGGCACTGCCTGCTAGTTATTTTTTTAATAGTGCTTTTGGCTTGTATGCCAAATGTCCTTTTAGAGAAATAGTTAACCTCTAGACAAACCGCAATATAAGGCCATGTTTCTCTAACAAAACTTGTGTTTTTCTGTTAGCTAAAATTTTGGTACAAGTGATCGTCAAGGAAAGTTGATATCTATTATGTATAATATATAAAGTATTATATTTTGGTATAATTATTTATAAATTAACATATTTGTTTTTACAAGTAAATTTTTAATAAAAAATTATATTATATTAGTAATTATTAATAGTAATATAAATTATAAAATCTAGAAGATGTAGTGACTTAGTGTAGTAGTCTATTGTTACTCTCTCCAAGCAGCAAATTTAGAGTTTAAATTTTACAGATGATGATTTTGAAAAATAGATCTATATTATAGTTAATAGCTATCGATTATTAGTTAAATCTAGAATCAAATCTGTAATCTAAGTTAACTATCTAGTAATGAGAGCTTTGGCACAATAAATCTGAAGAACTGAAATAACCAAACCTATTTGGAAAGTCTGTGCTACAATAAAGCTAAATTTGAACTGGGTCTGAGATTAAAAGTTTGAATAATAATGATGCTGCCTGAAACTTCATAGTTTCAGATTTACTGAAACTGAAACTAGTATTATCAGTTTTAGGCATTATTCTTCAAGCTGAAACTTTTTTAAACTTAACCAAAAGTCTGAAACTCCAAAACTATGCCAAAACTCTGAAACTTGATTTACTAAAAAAATTGTGAACTTAATAGTTGTGTATTATTTTATTACCAACAATTATTTTTCTGCTTAAACTTTCCAACAACTATTTATTAACAAATATTTCTCTAACAACTACTCTGTTTTCTATACTACTACTTATCTGATAACAATTCTTTTCTGACACTATCCTTATCCCACATCACTCTTTCTAAACACATTTTTTCTTGAAACCATACTTTCTCTAAAATCACACTTTTCCAATATCAATCTTTTCAAACACTATTTTTCTCTTTTCCCAATATCACTCTTTCTAAACACTACTCTTCCCTAGTATTATTCTTCTCAATACCACCTTTCCACTTCCTGACACTACTCATTTCAAACACAATTCTTCTCTTCTCTGATACTTCTTTTCTAACATTACCCTTCTTCATACCACCCTTTCCTAATATCACACTCTTTAACACCACCACTTTACTAATACACTTTTTTTTTACAACTATTTTAATACATAATTAAAAAAATCATATTTTAAAAAATATTTTTATTGTAGTTTATATAATTTTGTGACTCCTATATTTAATTTTTTTATGACTAAATAATTGTGGTTGCGATTATAATTGCTAAAAGCTAGCTAATTTATAAATTTGAGCCTGACATAAACTTAGATTTGTAATAAAATTAGCTGGCTTTAGCAATTGTGGCAATTATTTCATAATTTCTGAGACACTTGATAAAATTTAGCTATATAATTTTTTAGCTAATCTGATTAAGTTATCGATTTTAGCATAATTAGTATATATATAAAAATATATTTTTGAATTAGGTCTAATTTTTAATGTTGGTATTATATATATATTCTTAATAATTATAATATCATTATTGGTTTGATTTCAAAAATTATTATATATTTAATTAATATTAAACATATCAATATCATATTACATAATAAAATTCTTACTAAAACATGTTCAATAAAATTTTATAATCAATAAAACCTTCTTGAATACAATACAATAAAAAACCATTAACATACAATGCACTTTCTACAATAAATCATTTTCCTTGAACAAAAAAATATATTTTTTTGAGTACACATTTCTAAAAAATTCTAGCATTATAGTGCTCTTCTGTTATAAGCAGTTTCATTTAAAAAAAACTTACTCACTTGGTATATACTAAGAGATTTGTAAAATGAAATTGGTTCTATCAACTTTATTTACTTCTTTTGCATATTGGAATCTATAGAATAAAATTGTTATAAATTTATTAAATAAAATATTTATAAATATACTAAATATTATCTTTTTGTATGTATATTTAAAGCAGTATATAGCCCAACCAAAGTTACATCTTGAATTGTAATTCATACAAGTATCAATAATGTTTTTTGTTCTATTATTCATGTTTAGAGAATGTGGTTTTCTTGAAAAATGGCAAAGGTTTTTTAATGCAGCAATATCTTTAAAAATGTACAAGTACCCAACTTATAAAAGACCTACTAAAAGCCAAGTGTTTTGCAATTTTTCAAATTAATAGGTCTTTTAACTTTTTTTCAATAATTTGCTAGTAAATGTGCTTTGAAAGCATCATATTTTTTTGAATTCAACAAGAGATACATATAATCTTACTGCATATATTATTTTAATTTATTATACTGAAATAAAAACTTAACTAGATTTGGCTAAAAAATTATTTGGCTAATTTTATGCTAGTTATCAAATGTAAAGACTCAACTAATAATTTTGTTATTAAAAATATCTAATATAAGCACTAAGTGATTTCTAGATAACTTATTCGGTCACTTTCAAATATTGAATATTGTTTATTGTATATTGTATATTAGGAAGTAGCTAAATAAGTTACACAAAAATCATTCGGTAATTACATAAACTGTATCAGATAAGAATTATTAGTTACTTATTAGTTCTTATATGCTATTCATAAGTAAAGTAACCAAAAACAACTCACATATAAGCAGAATTTGTAATATTAGTAATTTGAATTTTAATAATCTTAGTATTACATTAAAAATTTTTATCTATATAAAAAAAAATAAAAATAATAACAAAAATTAAAAGAAATAAAATATTGTAAAATGAAAAAAAACAAAAAAAATATTGTACTAACCAATCAATTTTTAAAATTACAGTAAATTTTGAGTTACAAACTTTATATAAAATTTTAAATTTGATTGGCTAACAATAATTTTTAATCTTTGAATTTTTAGCTATATAATTTAGACATTTATTTTTTTATTTTTTATTTAATAATTTTTTTTTAATTAATATATATTTAAATTTATTTTTTTTATTTAAATAATATAATTTATTTTATTATTAATATATTTAAATAATTAGTATAATATGGATAGCTGTAGGGAAAGGTTTTTGAAAGTGATTGCAAAGAAGTGTTTGTGTTGGGGAAATAGTAGGGTTAATATTGGGAAAAAAGAGTTTAAAGAAGGGAGAATTTAGGGAAATGAGGTTGTTGAAAGGAAAAAGGGAAAGAAGAAAAGATTGTCAAAGGGGTTATAATTGTTAAAAAGGATAGTTATTAGAGAGGTTAAATTGTTGAGAAAGTGATTATTAATTAAATATTGTAGGCTAAATTGTTATATCAAAGATATGGAAATGATTGTTAGATAAATAGTCATCAGGTGGGTTGTTGTATCAAAAAAGGTTTGTCAGAAAAATAATTATTAAAAAAGAGATTTTGGGAAAATAATAGTAATCAGTAAATAGTTATATTAGAGAAATGTTAGTATTGGAAAAGTGATTGTCAGAGAATTGGTTATTTAGAAAGTAGTTTATTTATATTAAATTAAGCATAAAACAGATTTATTTTATGTTTACATATAAACTTAGTTTCAGAATTTTAGAATTTTAGCATAATTTTGGGGTTTAGATTTTAGTTTTGGAAGAGTATTGAAGTTTTAGTTATAGTCCTTAGCCAAAAATAGTTTTAGGCAGCATCATTATTAAATAACCAGATTTTTAATTAGAAGAATATACTAGTTAAACTACTTGATACTAAATGCACTAGAAAAAAAAGCATATGCTTCAAAAGTATATATTAAAAGAAAAGAGACTAGAAGGTATCTAAAACCTGAATGAACTAACTCTTTTGGGTTGGCAGCTTGAAGTAAAGAAATAACTAATAAAGAATCTAAGTAAAAGGACAGTTAAAATATAGGTACTAGAGTTGTTGTAAATCTATACAAGAGCAAATAAAAGTAATAAGCAACTAATTAAGAAAATTGTACTTAAAAATAAAGTTTGTATATATATAAGAGTTATCTAGCTAATTTGGTTAACACCTATTAACTGAGTTATAGCATTATTAATTGGATAATCTAAATTAATTATCTATAAATATAATAGTTGTTAAAATATAATATATAGCTTTGGCAGTTATTCAATTCGCTTCTAGCTATTTTTATTAATTTTGAGATATCTGGTAAAAAATTAACTAAATGACTATTTGACTGATTCAATATATTTTTGACTTTGGTAATAAGTAATTGCACAATGTATATATCTTTCTAATAACAAAGATAATATATATTGATATCTTTGCACTTGATTAAATTGTTGTTACTTCAGATAAGTTAATATTTCAAATTAAATAGTAATTATTTTAGACAAACTAGATAGTTTAAAAATAGTTACTATAGTCAAACAAGCTAGAAATTTTTTATTGTTAGATTAACTATTTTAATATTTTATCTAATTTATTGATTTTCTATATTTTAAAATTCATTTTATATAATAGGGTGTGGCGACATAGTGAAGTGGTAGAGTTGTCACCCCCCAAGTAGCAAGGTCTAGGGTTCGAATCCTACCGGTGACGAAAATTTGAAAA